GTTGTGAATTATTAATATTCACATTCCAGTTTTTGGTTGTTCTCATTGGGCCTAATATCAAATAATAACATTTACTCAGTAAGTATTTCATTATATAGATATTGCAGTTAGTTTGGATTTAATCGTGTGATATTTGTTTTCCAAGATGCAGACCTGTCGTTTAGCAGCTTGCTGTTGTGCTCCACAACGTTTCTCAAAGAAAGTTTGGAAAATGTATAATTTAAATGTCCCATATTTCAAATAAAATGCATCTTAAAGGACTAGTGTGTAATTTGGCAGCATCTAGCGGTGATGTTACAGATGCCAACCAACTAAAACTTCACCAGGCCTCAAAAGGTTCTGGTCCTCCCTTCAGATAGCAGTGAACCCACCCATGAATAAATAAACTGGGACAGGTCCAATTATAATATATAATATTTGGGAATGACGGACCCACTTTATCTTTTGGGATCTGCATAATCTTCATACTGAATCTGGATTTTTTGTCATGCAATATAGACTTTGAGAAGTAAATCTTAATCTCCTTCGCTGGCTTCTTTGTAATTTGTAACGACAGCATCTGCACAGCACACAGAAGTCCGGGTTCTATATTCGTTCTTATTAAATGTGTCCTTCCCATCCATGAAACTGGTAAATTATACCATCTAGTAAAGTCACTCCTCATGTCCATAAGTAAATTATACAAGTTCAATCTTAAAATATCTGCAACACTTGAAGTTATGGAAATCCCAAAGTATATATATTCCATGGTAGAACAACAAAATGGAAAGTCTGGTAAGTTTAGTGTGTCCTCATACCCAAGTGGCATTGCTACTGATTTGTCAAAATTAATGTTGTATCCTGAAAGAGAACAGAAGGTCTGTATAATTGACATTACAGCTGGGAGGATTCCTGTGGGTTGGCAACAAATAATGAGACGTCGTCTGCATATAGAGTGATCTTGTATTTGGCAGGTCACATTTGGATTCCTGATATAACTGTTGTGGTTTCTAAAGCCTCAGCAAATGGTTCAATTGCTTCAGAGATATTAAGTGTGTATAATGGATCCCCTTGACGGGTAGACCTCCCAACATGAAATCTGTCAATTGCATGCTATTAACCAGCACACAAGCCTTCGCTGAATGGTTTATCAACTTCACTACATTAATGTATCTCCCGCCAACGCCAAATCATTCCATAGTAATGAATAAATAAGGCCACTCTGTTCAATAGAAGGCCTTTTCCTGCGTCGCGCAAAATAACAAGACCATGCTTTTAATTGATTTTCGTATATTGGATAATTTTGAGCAATTTCCTCATTATAGTTTGAGACACCCTATTGTTTTAATGAAGCTTGTTTGGTCCTCTTTAGTTATAAGAGGTAAGTATCCCTCAAGCCTTCTCTGCAATAGTTTGTAGAATATTCCACTATATACGTTTGTTAAACTAATGAGGTGATATGAACGCTGACATCTGGGGGTTCCCCCTCCAAAAACACTTTGTAAAGTTTCGGAGAAAACTTCATGGTTTGGGTCAAAATTGCTACGTTTCTAAAGGGAACATGAAACTTAAAACAGGTACAGGATATGATCAGCTGTCTCTCAAGTGAAGCGTATCTTGTGAACACAAACATCTCCTTGTTTCAACTTGAACACCGTCTCTTAAATGAAAGCCCAGTGTTTGTTTGAGTGCTAACCACTGCAACACTGTGCCACCCCATGTGTGCACTCTATTTTTTGTCAATTTAACCCTTTTGTTGTCTCAAGGGTCAGAAATGACTTGCAACTGTGTGTCACAGCAGAGAAAACCTCAGATGTCTGTAAAGGACTGTAGAACAAATACTGTGTGCTGCAAGTGTGAGAAATACATCCGTTAAGTCGCTGCAGAAAAAAGTTCAAGACTGTTGTTGTTTCCCTTCAGTTTATCTGAACGGTGAGGAGACAAAACCCAGATATTCACAAGGTTTGATAATTGACCTGTTGTTTGTATGCAAAATAGATTTTTATGGGTTTAGGGAAGGCGGGTCCTTTTTACAGAACGATAAGATAACGTATTACAGGAACTGCTGTTACGGGAACTGCTGTCATTTCTTGTAAATGCTGATGGGAGGGTGAACAGGGTTCGCTGTTTGCCGTTAACAGAAGGAACCGTTCAAATAGAGAACAAGATGTTGAAACAGCCTGTGAACTAAACACATAAACACCTCTAGTCTCTGTGGTTTGTTGCATAACGTTTTAATACAAGATGCATCGTTGCAATAGTCTGAACCTTATTTCTGTACTTCACTACAGAGCAGCACATCCGCTCTCTACAATTCAAACATGGGAAACATAATCAACAAATTCTGTAAGTCAATATCAACCTGTATTTATAATGAGTTATTTCTATCTATTGATGACGGCAGTAACATTGGGGCTTGTTTGTTTTTTGAAATCCTCACTTTTCATCTATAATATTCTGATCAAAGCCTAATATGTGAGCTATTGTTTGTCTTTTGTGTGCACAGTTTTATCATACTACTTTTTAAGTCTACATTTGTCATCAGTTTATAATTATATATGTTTTATTTGATCTTACATCATGTTAAATATACAATATAGCTAAATAAACTGTTCATCTCTCAAGTTTGCAAACAGGGATTTGATCACTTTCTCTGGTAGATATTACTATGATGAAGACTTCAGAATGAATTTACTACAAAGAGCCGGATCTTCATGTTGTCAGTCCCACTATGGGGTGATAGAGCAGTGACAGCTTCTGCCAGACCTTATTAAGTTCAGTTTCTTTCTATCAAAGTCTTTTTAGGTGGCATCCTAAATTTAATTTAATGTTAAATTGTTAAACTAATTGTGTCTGAAGCAGAAGCTGAGGGCCATCTCTCTCCTTTACCTTTTTATGTTTGTGTGTGTGTGTGTGTGTGTGTGTGTGTGTGTGTGTGTGTGTGTGTATGTGTATATGAGAGAGAGAGAGAGAGAGAGAGAGAGAGAGAGAGAGAGAGAGAGAGAGAGAGAGAGAGAGAGAGATTTTGCAGGACTTACAACCATTAGGAGCTGTTACAAATGAGAGGGTCAGGACTTTTTTTCTAAAATCAAAATTCAGCCATCAAATTGTCCCGTAGTGCTCAGTGTTTTGATATAAGTGTTTCATATATAATTTGTGGTTATGTCATTTTGAATTTCAGGATCTTATTGTTTAGTTTGATGATGTATTTCACACTGAAGTTGTAAAGGTGCAGGCAGGAGGGAGTTTAGAGGATCCTTGAGTTATTTTCACAGCCATGAAGGGTTCTTTATGGAAGGTCTTCTGTGGAACTGCATTGAACAACATTATATGAAAACATAGATTATTAATTGTTCTTTCAGTTCTTTTGTTTTCAGTCTTTTGGTTTCAACCTACCACAACCTGCGACAGTAGAACCTCGATCCAAACAACCTGCGACAGTAGACCCTCGATCCAAACAACCTGCGACAGTAGAACCTTGATCCAAACAACCTACGACAGTAGAACCTCGATCCAAACAACCTGCGACATTACTGAGGAGTTCAGGATTCTGATGGTGGGGAAGACCGGAGTTGGGAAGAGCGCCACAGGAAACACCATTCTGGGAGAAAGGATCTTTAAATCAGAGTTCTCTCCTAATTCGTTGACTACCTCCTGTAAAAAGGCCTTTGGTGAAGTGAACGGGCAAAAGGTTTCTGTTATTGACACTCCGGGTCTGTTTGACACCAGGACTGATGCAGAGAAAACCTGTGAACAAATAGTCCGGTGCATGTATTATGCTTCTCCTGGACCCCATGTCTTCCTGGTCGTCATCAAACTGGGCAGATACACAGAAGAAGAAAAGAATACAGTGCAGAAGATTCAGAGACTGTTTGGAGAGGGAGCAGACAGATACAGCATGGTTCTCTTTACCCACGGTGACCTGCTCAAAGGGAAACCTATTGAGGAGTTCTTGAAGGACAGCGAAGACCTGATGGAACTTGTGGACAAATGTAACGGCCACTACCACGTCTTCAATAACGAGGTGAAGGATCAGTCGCAGGTCAGCGAGCTGCTTGACAAGATCAGAAACATAATATGGGAGAACGGAGGAAGCCATTACACCACTGAAATGTTCCAGTGGTCAGAAAAGGCGGTTGAAGAGGAAAAACAACGAATCCTTAAAGAGAAAGAAGAGCAAATGCACAAAGAGGAGGAGGAGCTGAAGAAGAAACTAGAGGAAAAGTTTGAGCAACAAATGAGGGAAGTGAAGGATGACATGGAGAAGGAGGATAAGTTAAGGGAATCTCGTGAAAGAGAAATGAAAGAGGAACTTGAACAACTGAGGAAGCAGCAGGAATTTCTGGCAAGATGACAGGCTGCAATCGAGCATTTCCTCTTCAAATTAAGTTTTTGGCTTTGTGATGCTGGACTGCAGCAGCCTTAATTAACTGTTGTGAATTATTAATATTCACATTCCAGTTTTTGGTTGTTCTCATTGGGCCTAATATCAAATAATAACATTTACTCAGTAAGTATTTCATTATATAGATATTGCAGTTAGTTTGGATTTAATCGTGTGATATTTGTTTTCCAAGATGCAGACCTGTCGTTTAGCAGCTTGCTGTTGTGCTCCACAACGTTTCTCAAAGAAAGTTTGGAAAATGTATAATTTAAATGTCCCATATTTCAAATAAAATGCATCTTAAAGGACTAGTGTGTAATTTGGCAGCATCTAGCGGTGATGTTACAGATGCCAACCAACTAAAACTTCACCAGGCCTCAAAAGGTTCTGGTCCTCCCTTCAGATAGCAGTGAACCCACCCATGAATAAATAAACTGGGA